AAATCTTTTCCATGATTACCAAACATTAACCAGTGATATTACTCAAGAAAACAAATATTTTATTTTCCATTTGTCTTTTTAGTTAATCTCTTATGAAATATGCGCATGAGTAAATGATAAATCTATTCTCATTTTGCATGATTGATAGTATTGCATGTTATATGAGTAATAGCATTGCTAATCTACGCATTTGTAGAGTATATTTGAATAAGCAATTACATTGTAAATCTCTTTAAAATAAGAGAGTATAAAGAGACTCGAGTCAAACAGATTTCATATCAAAAACTGTCCTACATATTTTCTAGTAACTACAAAATCGGCAATTACTATAATATATATATAAAGTATTCTCAATTTATTTTTATTTATATTTCCATATAAGAATACATAATTCTTAGTCTTTATTAAAATTATAAATCAAAATGTGAAGAACATTTAGATGTAATAATATAGAAGATAATTGCCAATAGAGTTAATATTGTACCAAAAATGAGTAAAGCAAGTCCGAAAAAACAAATAGTTGCATAGTACCATTGAATATCATCAAGTTTCTTAAATTTATCATCAACATTATTTCTTCTACTTACTTAAAATCGTTCTCTCCTTTCGGATGCATACAAATAAGTACTTCGCATTATTCTTGGTTTTTCAATGATCGTTCCGTTTCGTATTTCATTCCTAGTATACGCGACTTACCACACAGGAAAGTAGCAAATATTAGAATATCCTCCTCGACATATACTAGATTCGACTCGAGATGTTCGAACATAACAAAAACTCTTTACAAATCGTTATTCTTTCAATCGCTCTTTAATATATGCGGCTATGCTTAGACACAATAAGAATATACCACAAAAATTGAACAATCGACTTAAATTAGTATTAGTTTTTGATCTGTTTTCAGTTATACGTTGTGTCATGATAAAGAATTTTGTCTAATATGTACACTAACGCGAATCAATGTATGTGAATATTTTCGATTTCGTTCTCTTTAAAAAAAAAAAGGTATCACATGAGATCATGTTACACTTTATCTTCATTTTTTTTTCAAGCATCAAACAATCTACCTTCTATTTATCAACAAAACAGTATGTTACACTTTATCTCCATTTTTTTTTTCAAACATTTCGAAAAACTATTTTGTTGATAAATAGAAGATAGATTGTTTGGTGTTTGAATCATATAAAGGATTTGTTGATACGGATTTACAAGATATATAATTTAATTAGACTCTTATTCATATTCTGAATTTATCTGCATAATGCTTTTGATTAATAACCTTTTTTAATATATAATCTGTATACACTCAAAATTATCTTTTAAAAAAAAGAACAGTTTTGTGTTTCTATTAATAATGGAAGCCTTTGTTCGTTTTGTTTGATATGAATTCTAAATATTAAGTTTTTATTATTATCAACTTATCTCATTATTTCCTTTTGAATATTTATAATTTTATTATCTTATTAAAAAGCCAGTCGAAGCTTATAATATCATGTTATAAATATCATTTTTCTTCATTATAGTCTTAGGATTTAACAGACATATGATACCATATTGAAGAATTTTGTTAAACTTTTTAATATTTTCTATTTTGAGCTTTGCACTTAAGAACTTGGTTCTAATGAACTTTGAAATAGAAGAATAGTTTTTGTTTTACTATTTTAAACAGATTGAATTTCATTAAAAAAAACCTGTGTCAACTTCTTTTGAAATATCTATCACTAATTTTAGTAACTCATATATTATAATAATATTTCAGTTTTGAAAATACTGATGAATTTGATAGCTAGTTTACTCAATATTACTCTAAACAAAAAAAATTATATTTCAAGTATGAACTTAACTAAATGTTGCTTTATGGTAAATGTAACTTAAACAGATAGAATTACACTACCACTCGATAAAGTTTATCTTTCTTTTGAATCGTTAAATTTATCTTGATCGCTGTTTGTATTATTTTTATAACCTTGATTACATTAATTGAATGCGTGGGAACATAGAAGCGCTGCTAACGACTTCTTTGCGTTCTGATGCTGATGCAAATTTCACATCTGCCCAAAGTCGATTATTGATCTGACGACTAGATAGCTATTGTCACCAGTCGTCAAATGTCCTCGAGCACTTTTATCTATAACATTTAACAAGATACTTAGTGATAATTTAAATTCTAACCATTTTTCTGCAAAAGAAAAACCTATGACAGAGTGTTAATGCTCAAGGGGGAAAAGCATGACTACAGTACTTTGAAGTACTGCAAGCGCGTTTTTTCTCCCTTGATTATCACTTTATCTATTTGAAACAAAATTGAATTACTCTAGACCAAATATAAGTGAAGTACTATGAAATGCTAACTAATCGAGTCGCGTTTCTTTCTCTTAAAAACAACCATTTATCAACATAGACTTCTCATAAATTATATTGAAATGTCAGTTGATGTCAACAATAGGATTGACATATACAATAAGACGGTTCGTTTCTAAATAATATTGTTTTTCTTTGCTTTTAAAGTAGAGACTAATAAAAAGAAGAACAAAAAAGTTAGGCATATGGATTTCTTTCGAGCTAAACGAATAACTAACTAATCACAATGGCCACGTTAACCGGGCTGCCCGTTTTATTTTCTCTGTCATGAGATCCACACACACGCACACACACAAAACAATGTACAATAAAGAGGAAAAAAACAGACAGAAAAGAAGAAAAAAGAAAGAGTGGTAATCATAGTAGCTATCTAAATTATTATCGCGCTGATGACGGAACAACTTGTGTAGTGAATCCAGTTGTACTTGTCACCATTAAATTCTGATGTAAATGTAAGTTCATTCCTAATACTGATCGAACATCACGACAAAATCTTAATGCATCAAGAAATGGAAGTAAGGCTAATAAACATGTATCTGTTGGATCAAAGAACCATGACTTAACTAAAACAACAAGATAAATAACAATTGTTAGAAATATAAATGATAATTAATTTCTTACTGGGTATTGCATTTAATGGATAAGAACGATAAGCAATAGGACTATTGTCTAAAATAAATATCCGTGAAAGATCATTATTAACAACAGCTAAATCTTTTGAATATGCGCCAAATTCAAGTGTACAATGTTGTCTAAAATATCGTCGTGAAAGAATATTTCGATTATTATCTAATCTTTCAGTTACAGCTGCACCATAAATTTCCATAGATGCTGTAAATACAACAAGGTCATACCATTGACTCACCTAAAATATAAAATAATAACTTTCTTTCTTTCTTTCTTTTTTTTGTCTTGTTGTTTCTTTACTGTTTCAAGAAAATAATCCACATGTGGTCGTTTATAAACGAAAAATCGAACTGGATGTCGTTCAATTTCAACACGAACTATAAAATCAGGTGGTCCTGTTGGTTTAACAGTAACAACCCGTGAAAGACCATCGTGATGTGAATGTATTAATGTTTCATCCAAATCTAATACTAAGATTTTTTTAGGAAGAAAATCTATAAAAGACAGATATATACAACTGGAAAAAAATTTAACAAACACATACGTAATCTATGAAGAGATAATGGTTGAAGAGGACAATTATAATATTTAACAGATTGAAATTGAATAAGCTAAAATAAAAAACATATAAGTTTTAATTATAAGAAAATATCTTTTTTTTATCTAATACTTTTTTCTTTGATCCACGCAAAGTAACAAATATAAATGTCCAGACCCCAAAAAAAAATCTTAATAATCGTTTGAACATTAACAAAAAATAAAAGAAGATTTTTGTGTTTATAAAATAAATATAGTCAAACGCACGAAGAAATAAACGAAACATGCTTATTGTATTTTTTTCACTATTTAAATTTGGATGATTATTTTGAGTAACTAATCCTTGTTGCTGTTGAACTCGAATAACTGCAGATGATGGCATTACAATATATAAAGTTTTTATTTAAACAGTAAACATTATTATGTTTAATTGCAAAAATAAAAAAATAAGAATGAACTTGACGAAAAATACAAAATATAATACAGCTGACAGACTAGTTAAATTAACCAATAGAATCTTAAGAAGATTGAATGGAGGTCACCATATGACAATCAATGGTAAACAGGATACCAATGAAAAAAGATGAAGATAAAACCGCATGAACAAAAAAGATTGAATGAATTTAAGGATACCATTTTCCTTCATTAATTCTATAGTTAGATTTTAAACTTCAATATTCATCAAGTTTTCAGAGATTTCTCTAGCAATCAAACAATTCTTATACCATTATATACAAAATAAATTTGAACAGCTGCTAAGTGAACAAGTAATTGAATGCACCATATGGATACATGAACGAATCTTTAAAAGAAAGTATAAATATACATCTGCTGCAATAATAGTGAATAAATTATCCATGGCAACTAAAAAAAGAATTTTTTTCTTTTCTTTTAGATGACTTCTTCACCTTTACCATCTCATTGGGTTGAATCTCTTTTTCCTCCTCAGTATTCTATTCGTGATTATCGCGCTACATTTCAACCTGATCATCAACGTGTACGTCGTTATATTACCACATTATCAACATTTGATGCTCCAACATTAGCCGCTATTTATGAACAATCTTATTTATTTACTCTCATTCAACGCTTAGCTCAACAAGAAGAAGATGAAAAAATCAAAAGTAAAACAAAAACAAAAGCTAATCAAACTGAACCTGTTGATTCTGTGCTTGATATTCGTCTTATTCGAGCATTTCTTGAAAAGCATAAAGAAAAGGAAGAAAAAACTAATGAAACTGAAAATCTTTGGACATCTGATGAAATTTCTATTATTCGTTCAGCTTATATGAAAGTTCATGATGATTGTTTACGTTTGAAATCTGAAAATGATTATTATCGAGAACAACTTGAAATTTTTAAAAATAAATTTAATGAAACAAATCAAATATTAGAAAAACTTCGAGAAGAACATTTATCTCTAAAAAAAACTCATACACGTTGGACCATACGAACAAATTCATCAGAACAACTTCTTGAAGAACAACGTCAAGAAAATAAAGAACTTATTGAACATATCGAAAAATTAACTGAACAAAATGAATTCTATCGTCGTAATCATTTACAAATGCAAACTGGTTTACTTGAAAAACAATCACGTATTGACCAGCTTGAAAAAAAAATTGATCATTATGATGAAACAATAAAACGTGAATGTGATCGACGTGTTGATTTAGTTGAAAAACGTGCTCAAGTTGATAAAGATCGGTTTAAAATTGAAACTAATAATTTACAAACGAAATTAGATAAAGAACTAGATTTACGAAGACAAAATTTACTTGCATTAGATCAATTAAGAAAACATATGGCTTTAGCAAATCCCCAAGAGAATGAACAATTTTTATGCGATATTAAACAGGTCAAATATGTTTGAAATTTTCCTCTTTTATTTTTTTTCTTCTAATCGTATACAATAGAAAAGAAAACAATTTTTCAATGTATTTTATTCACTTGAAAATTTTCATTTCGACTTTTTAATGTAAGACTTCCAATGGAATTTATGAAAATAAATTCAAGTTTATCAAAAATACATTGACAAATTGCTAGAGATTTCTCCATTGTATATTGATGAATAATTTTCGGTTTTATTGACCGAAACAATCATACGTATGTATACAACACTTTTTTGTTTTATGGTATTTGTTATTGTTTAATAGATAAATTATATAAATGTCTGTACACACTTGATTTTGATTTTCTATATCAAATAAACGCCTTCATTCTTTACTTTTTCTCATATCGCTTGTTTTTTTTTCTAGCATTGTGATTAATAGACAATTGTGTGGCAGCATTTTTTTATATAAACGAAGTGAATGAAATCCAGAAACAACATTGAAAATATAACGCATAATAATGCCATATATTATTCTTTTTAGATAATGCCACAATCTTCGAATGATCCAATCGGCGGTAATCATACAAATAAAACAATTAAATGTGTTTGTGTAGGTGATGGTTGTGTCGGTAAAACATCAATGCTTATATCATATACTACAAATACATTTCCACAGTCTTATGTACCTACGGTATTTGATAATTATTCAGTTACTGTAATGATTAATAATGAACCATATACACTTGCTCTATTTGATACGGCTGGTCAAACTGGTAAGAATTGTTTTTCTTTTCAAGAGAAGATTCTAATCTTATTTGTTCTTTTTTCTTTTTGTTCAAGGATTTGAATTAATGCGTGCATTTTCATATACAAATACTGATGTATTTCTTGTTTGCTTCAGTGTTATGTCTCCAGCATCATTTAATAATGCTCTTAAAGTTTGGATTAATGAAATTCGTCAATCATCATCAACTCGAAGCGCACCATTTGTTCTTGTTGGAACTAAAATTGATCTTCGTACAAATCTAGCCGATATTGAATTTTTAGCTAAATCAAAACAAAAACCAATAACACGTGAACAAGGTGAACATGCAGCAAAAGAATATGGTGCATATGGATATATTGAATGTTCAGCATTAACACAAGAAAATCTTAAAGAAACATTTGATGCTGCTATATTAGCTGCACTTACTCCATTACCTTCTAAACGTATTGGAATCTTATGTTGTTGTTCATAAATTTTAATTCAGATAACAGTGATGTCAAGTCTAAAAATATTGATCGTATGTGTAACTCCTATTGGATAGTATTTATATATTCGTTTCTGAGGTTTTTTTTTCTAAACAGAATACTCATTTCTTTTATTTATTCTGTATATTCGAGATGACTTTTTTTTTGATGTTGTCAGGTTTTTATACATTCTCATTAAAAAAATATATATACATATATTCAATACAAAAATAACATTTTAGTCTCAATATTAATATTTTTATTTTCATGCTTGAGAGCACACGAATATATAGTGTTTACAGGTAAGAAACATAATATATCAACTATTTCAAATCAAATATGGGACATAAACAATCGATTAAATCACATGTCACAATGGATGAGTTGGCGTTTGGTATGCGTCCAAATGCCGCACAAACTGACGAAGTTATTGAGGTAACACAAAGAATACCTGAAAAACTCTTTGGTTCTAAAAGGATTGAAGATGATCCATCAATACAACAAATGCAACACGAACTTTTATCATTTGATGATACACTTCGACGACTTTTTCGACGAAAAAGAAAAAACCAATCAAAGAAACAAGATTCTTCATATGAGTCTTATGAAGACAGACAATATGATGCTGAAAACCAAGAATATTATGATCCGTATAGACAATATTATGCTGAAAATCAAGAATATTATGATCCATATAGACAATTTTATGCTGAAAATCAAGAATATCTAGACAGAAATCAAGAATACTATGCTGAAAATCAAGAATATCTTCATGGAAATCAAGAATATTTTGATAGAAATCTAGAATTAATACATGAAGAAGATGAAGATAATCTTTCATCTAGTTCTGCCAATGATAAGAAACAAATACTAAATAGAGATACCGAAAATGGTCTTTCATGGCGATGCAAATATTGTACTGAAAAAAACAAATCAAGTGATGTTGATTGTCGTCACTGTAAACAAAGTAGAACAAATTTTTAATTTGTTTGATTTGTTTTTTTTCCCTATGAAGAAAAATTAATGCGTTTATATGTGCACTTCCTTTTTTTTTAAAATCTTTTTGATATAGTATTTTACTGTCAAAAAAATTCGTTACTTTCAATCATGTGTACGTCTACGATTAATATAACATAGTTGGACAATATCAATTTTTTATTGTTTGATATCAACAAATAAACGCAATTGAAAAGAATGCGTAAACCTTTCGTTTGACGCTAATATTTTGATAAAAACTTAAAAACAACATATGACTTGAATCTACTCAAAATAGAAGGACATTTATAATCTACATACCATATGTTTTGATTTAACAGACGAAATAAATTCACAACATGATAATATAGAGAATCACAAGGCAAATAAATATGTACTATTTACTTACACAAGCACTATCAGTACCTTCGCATACATTTACAACAAAATTATTCAAATAAACCTTCGATTTTTCGATCTCAAATGTATATACGAATACTTCATTTTATTTAGACGATGTTACTCATATAAACTTTTTATGGATGTCTATAATGGTCGATTATATTGACTCGAAAGTAAGTTAATATTTTCTTTTTATCGAAGTATATTAATCACAATTTATTGATATTACGAAATAAAAATTTCAAATATTTCATATTGTGAATACATTTAATCATAAATATACTCCATCTGTTGCTATCAAGTTTAGCGTATTTTTTTTTCAAATATACTCAATAACATGAAATAAAGAAAGAAGAAAAAAAAAACAAAAGATTTGCTTCTATTCTTTTTTTTCTTTGCTGTTTATCATTTTATCATTCTGTAGTCACGCGCATTTTTTTTTTCTGACCATTTGTGCTTCTGCGTCATTTTATCTGTTATACATGTGTGTTCATCCGTCCGTCTATTAATATCTAAGAAGAAAATCAATGTGAAACAAATAAAAAGACAGACACTTCTTCATTCCCTCTTTATTATCCTGTGTACATAATTTATCCTATTATTATTATTTTCAAAAAAAACCAAAAAAATGCAACAACCTTCACCGATAAAACTTATTTATGATTTAGCTCGACGAAATAAAGTATGTTCAAACAAAAACTAAAGAAATTTTTATTAGTATTAAAAAAAAAATCATATATCAATATAGATATTTATTAAATATCGACTGGAAAAAGAGTCAGGTCCAGCTCATGCAAAAATGTATACAATTCGACTTTATGTGGGTGATAAAGACTATGTTAGTGCTGAGCGTAGTATTAAATTAGCACAGCGTGCAGCTGCTCAATTAGCTCTTGACGATCTTCGAAATTTACTGATTACAAATAACTATGATCAAGATATTTCACAAATAAATGGTAAGATTTATTATTAATAAAGTTTATAGTGAATATGAGAAAATAAAAAATTGATCCATACGAATAATAATAAAGAATTTTAGAGTAATATAACATAAATCCTTCAACTGAATATTAAATTTAAAAAGTATTATTAGTTCAAATATTTTGCTAATTTCAATTCTCTTCTATTGGGAAAGTAATGCTTTACATAAACGATGTCTCAAAGAAAATTCATACTGTACTATTTCAAACAAACTTTAGTATTTATTAATGAACTTTCGAGAGTACTTATTTTTTTTTACATGAGATGTTAGGTTTGATTGTGTAATATAATTTCACAAAAAAAAAATCTGTAGATCTAATAATTTCAATTTTAAAAGCAAATTTTAGTTCATATTTTGAGTAGATCAAAGTCTTTGTCATAACCTTTAGTTTTCTTCGTCTACGTTGATATTGTTTTTTTTTTCGTATTACTATAAATTTATCGACCAATTTTCATAGACTCGATTGTAATGAAAAAGGAAGTAAGAATGATTAATAGTAAACATAAAATCATATTTATCTTTTACAGTGATTCAGAGATGGGCAAGTCATTTTTCAAGCCATTTAGAAAAAGCCTTATAATTTTTCTCATCTAAAGAGTTTGACTCTAATTTCAATGTGACTAAATTCAGAAATGTTCAGGCTACAAAATGATATATTATGGTTAAAGTTTTTCTCCATCAGAAGCGCCGTAATACGTTCAAAACACCATGACTTGACTTGACCTGATCAAGTCAAGTCATTTCCATCAAGTCACAGTGTTTTAAAGGTATTACGGTGCTTCTGATGGAAGAAAACTTTAACCATAATATATCATTTTGTAGCCTGAACATGTCTGAATTTAGCCACGTTGAAATTAGCTTTACACTCTTTAGATGAGGAAAATTAAAAGGTTTTTTCTAAATGACTTGAAAAAATGACTTGCCCATCTCTGCAGTGATTACATGTTTTTCTAGTTTGAAATGTATTAGTAGAAAACTTTCTCTCATAATATTAAAAATGGGCAGTGAAGAGGTATTTCAAAATTATATCATAAGTCTACGGATTAGGTTTAGAATCTTCCTTGATTACTTTGATGTAAAATGTTCGAAGTTTTGAAATACACATCTTCTGATAGTGTTAACATTTTTCTAAGAAATTTCACGTAATGTATAAAAAAAATAGTCTGAAGATGATTCAATCCACTAATTATCCAAAGTAATGAAATCAGTATTTTATGTTTATATGATTAGACAAAAAATTTATAAAATCTCTTCATATTTGATCTAGTATTCTTTAAAGATAAAACTTTTAATATAGTCGGATTCAGACAAATACTTTCTACATATCATTATTGTTCAACATATAGTTTCATACATTTGCTGTTCATAATACTAGAATTAAAAACAATATTATAATGAACCTTATTCATGATTTGCCTGTTGGCCATGAACATGTATAAAAAGAATGGTCGTACTAGTTTATGTTATTACAGAGAGTGGTCCTTTCTTTCATCTATCTTTCTCAATTCTCTTGTATGCTAACAAGATGATTAAAAAAGATAGATGAAAGAAGGAGTCATCCTTGGCAACAAATAAGCTAGCATGGTCACTTTTTTTTGATTTATTCAAGAAAAATGATTGTATAGTAGAAGCAAGACAAGATTTATTATGTCAAAAGAATTCATTAATGAAACATAAGAATATTCAACATTTTTTTTTAGATTTAGGGTATGAATGTAGTTGAAGAGAAGATCCATATCTATTTTCGTATGTTTCCATAATGCGATCATGATTTTTCTCTCCTCACGCCGCATTTCGTACACTTTATAATGGGCGATTACTTTTGCCTGTTCATCCTCAATTCTACTCTACAGACATTTTTTTTTTTAATTGGAGAAAAAAATATCTGCAATCAAGAAGACATGCAACAAGCAAATCGTGCATAAGGTTCATTATAAATATAAAAGAAATGCTTGTTTAGCCTGTACGATTCAAATCATTAACGAAACTTATTGTTCAGACACGATAGAATTATTTCTGTATAAAATCATAATTTAGAATATTAAAAAAATTTCGTCAGATAATCCTAATCGTTGATTATATAACTATAAAAACTTTATTCTATTTAAGTCTTTCAATCACCAACTGTTGCATTAAATACATGGGCTAATCGAAATCATATTTCAACACATTATGTTTTACTCAATGAACGTTTAAAATCAACATCATCAAATTATTCTCGTAGTCTTTTTTATTATCGTCTTTATCTTGGTCATGATTTATATTTTGATGGACATGCTTATACACATCAACAAGCTCGTACTAATTGTGCACTTAATGCTTTATATTTCTTACGTCAAAATCCAATATCAACACAACAATTAAATATTTTATCATCATCATCATCATCATCATCTATTTCAAAAAACAATCATCAAACAAAATCTGATATATCACTTATGTATGAACGTGCTAAACAACTTGGTCTTTCTGTTCATAGGAAATTTGATGATCCATTTACTGTTACATATCAAATTGGTGAAAACTATTCAACAACTGGTAATGGTTATAATAAGCAATCAGCTAAACAATTAGCTGCAAAAAAAATGTTAGAAATTTTACCATTAAATCATATTCAAGAAAATTTCAATCCAATAACACGTATTTATCAATTAGCTCAACAACGACAAGTTAAAATTGAATTTATACAATTATTTAATAAAGAAAATTTTACTTTTCAAATTAAATTTGGTAATAATGATATAGCTGAAGGTTATGGTAAAACAAAAAAATTAGCTAAACAAATTGCTGCTAAAATATTACTTGAAAAATTAGATTCTATTATTATTTTACCACCACCACCAATTAAAGGTTTACTTAAACGAGATGGAAATAATGATAATATAAATAAACAAGAAAAAAAACATGTACATTTTGTTGAAGAAATTATTGAAAAAGATGAACGAAGATCTTGTAAATCATCATCATCATCATCATCAACAATTTCAAAATCATATAAACAACAATTAATTGAAGCTTGTGAAAAATTAAATATTCATGTTGAATATTTAGATAAAATGGTTTGCAACAAAAATTTTAAAAGAAAATTTTATTCCCTATGGAAATTTTCTATAATTTTAGAATGAAAATGAGAATGCCGGTAGTTCACGATATCAATCAATAGTTAGTTTATCAACTGATGATCGTCTTCTTGCACAATTTCGTGGTCATGGTCCATCATTAATACGTGCACAAGAAAATGCTTCATCAGCTATTTGGAATAATTTAAAACAATTATTTAATGGATCTATTCAAGTACCAAAATCGAAAAGAAATGAAAAAAATTATCGACAAATTTCTGTTGAATAATATTAGAGAAATTGTTTGTTGTTGTGATGTTTATCTTTTGATTTTCTGTATTTGTTTTGTTCACAGTTTAAAAAAAAAATGTTTGAATGATTATGCATGTTAAAAGAAAAAAACAAAAAAAAAAAAGAAAACTTGAGAAATTCGTATTGTTTAGTGTTCTTGCTTTTTCAACATTCATTTATTTATTCTTTATGTTTTTAAATATAAAACCTAAAGTTAAAAACAAAATGAAATATTTTATATATGAGTTTTTTTAAACAACATGAAGTAAATATGAAAAGACTTTACTGAATCAAAAAAAAGTAAGAATTGCAATTTAATAAGTTGAAGGATCAAAGACAAATGAGCGTTGGATTGATACTTAAAAAATGGGATCAATTAGCAATATGAAGTTAGAAATATTTGAATGAGGAGAACTTCGAACGTGTTTTCTTATAGAGTAAATCATTTTTAAAAATATCTAACGAATGCGACAGAACGAATGGTGAGTTCGCTATTTTGACTAGCTATCGGACTATTCGTTGCCAATGTCAATCAGAATCTTTTGTGTATCCTACCTGATATACTCACATCTACCCATGCCACCAACATATCCACACTCCACAATGGAAAAGGTTATATTTATCACATGAAATATAACATTTTGTAGAGAATCTTTGGAAAAAAAGAATAGCTCAACAACATGAAAACTGAAAAAATTGTGACCAAAATAGTGAGACTGTCATTTATATTATCACATTCGCTATAATCATTTTTATATATATAGCAGATAGGCAAACCTTGGATTTACATTCCCAGATGCCATGTAAATCACTATCACTTTCCTTTCGAAAACTATTCTTTTAAATATTCTTGCAATGAATAATACAATCCAGTATGTTTTTTTTTTGGTCGTTATAAAAACTATGAAGAAATATATAAGCAAGTGCTAGCAGTTTGTCTTCAAATTAATAGATAGCTAATTATTACTGTTCTCATTTAATTAGTGATCATGATTATTGAATTCTGATATTGAGATTAAAATTGAACAAATCTATGTTTTATTTATATCGAATAATTATAAACAAATAAGGCGTCATTTGAAAAAGAACGAAAGACATTTTTATCGACATAGTAAAATATTGCATAAGACATAGATTAGTTATTCTATTTGGGCTTGACGATCTTCATGTACTTCCAAATTAAATGTTATTCTTTCTCTCGGTCTGAATAATACTTAGAAAACATAATTAATTAGTCATTTCATTCAAAATTATTTTATTTAAGCATAATTAACAATCCAACTATCCGACTCATCAGATTCAAGTTGATTCAACTATAACAACTGTTATCAATAATAATATTCTCCGACAAGTACAATATTTTTTTAAGTAATGATATGTTTGGAGAGGAGATAATGCCAAAACTCGAACCCAAAATTCTCGTATTCAATTATGAATATACAGTATTAGACATGACGATGATTTAATCAACGAACTACAATGACTTATTCAAAAATCAATAGAATCGGACACTTGAAATTTTTTTTCTTTTATAGCAATGCAGAATTTCGCTTTGAAATTTAAAGTATATAATACTTGAATCCATTTGAAAAATCAGTTTGAACTGGAATTCCAGTTTTGTCTGGACAAAATTAGACTGCAACTAGGGATAAATTCATATAATCATGTGCTTTACTGGAAGTAGAGGGAAATGACATAAAAGGAGAAAACTGTAATCGTAGTGGTTGTGTCGATAAGCGTTATAAATATTGATGTATGTATTAAAATCTAATAAAGAACAGACATCTGATAAGGAAACAACCCACAGTGGTATCTTGTGTTTGAGATGAGATTCCAGTCACAGTACGTAGGATCTGTTGAAATTAGAAGAAACCTAGAAGGATCTTTCCGTAGGCGTTCTTCTTTTGGAATTATGGTCGTTACACTGGACTTTTTACTTTTGCCATATTGTTTATAAAAAAACAATGTACAAATGAATTTTGGTCTACAACTTTGTCCATAGACAATTCAGTCAAAAAAAAATGGTCTCTTATCGAGATATCGAAGTCCCAAAAGAACTAGATTTTCCTTCCTTTTGGTGAAATATCATCGTTTTTCTGTGGATTGGATATCTCGAGAACAGATGACCGTTTTGGGCTGAAATTTTTAGGAGATTCTAATAAATGAAACAGTTGTTTGTGGAGCAAATTCGTTCCTGCTGTATTTTTATCCATGCTATGGCAAAGATAAAAAATCTAATGTAACGACTATAACTGTAAAAGGACAGCGCATGTAGAAGAATCCTTCTAGATTTCTTCTAGTATTAACAGATCCTATGTAAAGATTGGAGTTTCATCTTAAACATGAGATGTCGAATAAGAACTAACCATATTTATGATTAAACACTTAATAATTTCAAATAAGAAAACTATTGTCGTAATATTCTTGATTTAATTATTAAAAGAGAAATCATTTTTATCGTTCCAGTGAAAACTTTATTTTTCATCTCTATCTCTTTCTTCATATTATTAGTCACCAAAAAACACAACAAAGAAAAAATTGTTTTACCATCTTTCTACTAATCTCGTTACAATTTCCAATAATAATAAAAAAAAGCAAGAGAAAATAGAGATAAAAATAAACCCAAAGAAAAAAAACTATTTACAAAAGAAATAAAATTTTCTATAGACAGATGTGCTGTACGCATCGCATCATACAAAAAAAAAAAGAGAGAAGAAAAACCATATATAGAATAGTGCAAAGAGAAGCACACATGCAAACCTGAGAAGTGAACAAACAAACACATACACACAAAACAAACCGGGTCAAAAGTGAGCAATATATACATGTATATATATATATATATAAACTACTGTTGTTATCAAAATTATTTTAATGTATTCGAACAAGATCGAGATGGTAATCGAAAAAATTGAAAATGTTTTGTTAATATACTTTTTTTATTATTTGAATATTGTTGTGAATGTTTGGGTGAGATTGAACATGATGAACTTCCATCTATAGATGATGTTGGTGATGATGAATATGATAATTGACGATGATGTTGTTGTTGTTGTTGTTGTTGAGCTATATGATTTAATGAATGATTATTAATATTTGTTGATGATAGTTTTCTATTATTATATTCATTTAATGATGATGATAAATGTTTAAAACAAACAATATCATTTTTATTATTTAATTCATTACGTAATGTAGATAATTGACGAAAATCATCACGATTATATATTGTATAAACTGTACATTTATCAAACATAGATAATAAACGTTCAACTTCTTTTCCAGAACGACGAAGAACATTAATACCTTCAATTGCATATAAATATTCATTAACCTTTAAAAATAAGAAAAAAAATAAATAAAACTTGTCTTTTAATATTTATTTTCTTTTCTTTACTCGAATTCCAGATGTAAATGCTGAACCATATGGATCAAGTCTTTCAACATAACATGGACCTTGACCTTGAAGAATTAATCCATAACCAGGACGATCACGTTTAAGCTAAAATAAGCAGTCAAATAAGTTTCAAACACTCACAAGAGATTTCAATTAATATAACAGTAATATATAAATATGTAATATTCGATAGAAACTTCTCAACTGGAAAATCACTTTTAACCTAAAAATCAGTAGACAATAGATTATCGACCATGCTGCTTTTGAATATGAGCAAGAAATTCATTGATAGACCTTCTAAGATCTGATTTTATGCAAAATCTAGTTTTCTAGAGCGAAAACTTTTTTTCGTCAAAATAATTTTTTGATTGTAGAGAACATTGAGTTGTGTATAAAAAAATATATTTTTTTTTTAATATTTTGAAATGCTAAATAAGGCAACAAGAAACCTTGACACTTAAAGAGAGGAAGTGCACCTATGATCGTGTACTGTCAACAAACAGTTTCTTACAAATTCAATACTAAAATAGTTTTGTGAATGTAGAATTAATGTTTCTCAGTTAAATTTAGAATATAAATGTGGAAGTGTGAAGGTCTGAGATATGAATGCACAAGTATGAAGTGTTGATATGGAGGTGTAAATGAAACGTGGAAGTGTGCAATTGCGTATCGATAGTTTTCTTCTCTTCTCACACATTAAGTTTTGACACGACATATGTCTTTATTGCTTGCACAAAATCAAAAAAAGAAATAGCTTCAGGGCATTGAGTTTAGGTTATGCCGAACTCACTCAACAAGGTTACAGAGTGAAAAACTATCGTGTTGACTTCACCAATAGCGAAAGCCTATGCAAGAATATGTTGGTTTAAGCTCTGCTCGTACCGCAGTAGGACAAAACCGCAGAGTCAATTTCAGTTAAGGATCTAGATAAAAGAAAATAACTCGTCTCTTTGCATCTCATTTAGTATTTCAAAATGTCAGAAAATAGTTTTTCATACACAACTCGATGTCCTTTACAATCCAAAGAGACCAGAAAATTAGTTGAGCGAAAAAGAAGGCCTCTCAGCAAATTTCATGCTCATATCCAGAATCAGCAGAGTCGATAGCCTGTCTTCTACTGGTTTTTAAGTTAAGAAAATTCTCTCGTTAGTGAACATTCATTCTGATACACTCGTTCCTTACTATGATTATCTAATAGTACTTGCCAATAAAATCCTAATGAATGAATCATCTATATTTTTGAAATTTCTTTTCTTTAGTGTCTTAGAATTAAATCAAACTAGCTAATAAAACTTACTGAATAACTTTTCCAACACCATGGTAATTCTCGTCGTTCAAGTTCATCAGCAGTTGGACGATGTTCTAATTTCAAAAAAAAAAAATAACATAAGACATTAGAAGATTTGTGTTTTTTTTTACCTGAATTAGCTGTTGAATTAAGACTTGCAGATTTTTTTCTTTTAAAACTATTTGTAGGACATATGAATTTTGTTGTATAATCAATTTCATCACTATTTAAAATTTTTCTTATTGATTCATTACTATTTATTGAATTATTACTAGTTGATATTCGAATATTTTCATTTAATATTAGTGATTGA